TTAAATAGACGAACATTTTTTTTTCTCTCATTCCCAATTTTTAAATGTAATCATTTTTTAGGTTTCACTTGATGGGATGCACTTTCATTTTATAATTATCAGAATTAACTTTCTTATACCTTAAGACATTCACTTCACAACAACCTTAAAATAAAAGATTATTAGCCTTAATCCAATTATTTGATCGGGTGAAATAATACTCATGAGTACACCATACATACCGTGCGACAATGATGCCATGTGTTTCATAAATTATAAGAAAACGCATATGTAAGAAAAACAATAATAATTATAGCCATCCATATTTATACGTAGAAAGGACGATAAACATGCATTACAGAGAGAACGTATATACACATTAACATGGAAAATTAATATGGAAACAATAGACATGAAATATAAAATGTACATGCTTCATGGAGTGCATATATATATATGTAGGGCACACAATGGGTTTGGCACGTGTATACAAATAATTAGGTAAGCACATATACATACATTCAACATGGCTATGAATATAATATAATGTAAGTCCATATTCGTCAAAGATCTAGTATAAAGTAGTATTGTGTAAGCATGAAAATCGGCTAAAAAATAACACAAAAAAACAGTGGACAAGCCCTCGATTTTAGGGTTTAAGACTTAATATTGGAACGAGATAATAACAAAGTTGGGAATAATAAAAACATATTAAATAATATACAAATAAAAGGGGCATTAAATCACAACACGGTAGCATGCCAAGTTCGAGTGAATAGATATCAACAATAAAATGACTTAAACAAAAGTTGCATAACATGTAAAGGTAAAATATTAGAGACGAAAATGCATAAATAAAAAAGGGATGCATTCAAACAAAAGGGGAAAATAGTGGCCAAATCATAATAAGACCATAAACATCCAGGGTCAAAGTGAATACATATAAGATTGAGCACCAAAGATACAAAGCAACAGGAAAACGAGATGGACATACCAATAGTGACGGGAACAAAAACATAATAAAATCACATGCATGCTAAATACAGGAATCCACATAAATTAAGATAACCTAGTGTAGGGCTAAAATGGAAGGCGCGCAAACTTGAGGACAAAATCAGAATCCTAAAATAACCTGATTTAGGGACTAAAATAAAAATCATGGGAAAAACGTGTCAAATGTATAAATAGTACGAAATATGTTGGGACCGTCGGCGCACCCCATGGCGCAGCGGAAACAAAACTCGACGGTCTCACCAGCGATCCAAGTACGAAAAACTAAAATTGGGAGAAAGAGATGCGAATACTTACAGTGGGTTCCTTGAAAAAAAAAGCAAGGACAACAGTGAATACTGGTGGTGTAGATCGGTTCGAATCTTAAGCCTCCACGAAGTCACGTCTCGGCCTCTACTCAGTTCACCCGATTGAGAGCAATCTTTGTTTTCCCCAAACCTCTTTTGAGAGAAAACGGCTGAAGGTTTTGAGTGTGTGTTGTTAAACGGCTGCTAGACCTAACACATCCTTTTATAGCCAAGTTACCCTAATCATATTAGTGTTTTATTATTTCAAATTAATTAAATCTATATTTAATTAATTGGAATCTAATAATCCTCTTATATCCAAGTTACCCTAATCATATTAGGGATTTTATTATTTTAAATTAATTAAATCTATATTTAATTAATTGAAATTAAATATTTGGGATTATTAAAACATATATTTTAGTAATGTACAACAAATTGTACATCTTTGCTCGTTTCAATCCTATGGTGTGACCTTGTAATTATTAGAACAATTCTAATATTACATACAATGAGTGACATCTAGCAATATATCATTGTCACCTAAGTTACAAGAAAATATGATTCGACATATCATCTTGGTGATTGCTCTTTTATGTATTACATCCTTATGTCCTTTATATCTAGAACATGCACAAGTCTTGGAATAGTCACACTTGTATAGCCCATATATTGTTTCTTGATATCTAGAGTAGACTTTAATTAACGAATAGTTTATGATATCTCATATCAACTTATTCGAGCATGGCCATGCGTTTCTAGTCTTACTCAATCAAGTGGCCTGTGATATATTTCCTATTATGTAGGAAGGACAAATCCTATCTTAATCATACACACCCACTACATATATTGAGATATATCCAATAACAGTCTTTATAGAGCAACCAGTTACGGAGCTTGTTTAGCTGCATCAAAACATACAACAATATATGTTGGGATAGTATTGATCTCAAGTCTGAGGATCATACATATAGTCATCACCATGAGCAATGTTATGACTGTCACATAATAATCCAAGACATATGCTCATGGTCGGTCAATCCAATACATTGTTCTATAACAATATAATCATGTATCAATTCTGACATCTCTATGTCAATGACAACTCATTGTCATCAATCAATAACATGTTAGTCTTAAGCGTATTATTATTGTCCATGCCCATAATAATATTTGACTATGGATCTTTTAATAATAACAATTATGTCATTATATGGACTTTATTATCTTACAGTTTATGTTAAACACATATATATAAATGAAAATAATAGCGGCAATGCCTTTATTCAAAAAAATCAGTAAATAAAAGTATTATTACAATCATCATATGATTGGTCTTTGGGCATACTCTAACAAAATACAAACTAGCGAGTAACATTTACCAAAATGTAATTCGTAGAAACTTAAGAACCATATTAGAAATTTACAAAACCTCGAAGTGAGGACCAAAACGTAACAACTTGAAACTAGATGGAGCCCCTGAACAATTAAACCCTCTCAGACGCGGGTTCTAAACGGTGTCATTTTGACATCCGAATAAATAGGCTATTTTAGGTTAAAAAAATTAACCCTAATTCATTTTATCATACCCGCCTAACCCCACCCACCGTTTCTTTCTTCTCTCAACCTCATCTCTTTCTTTTTCCCTCTAGGTTAGGTAACCACTGTGGTCATTGCCTCCCCAAAGGCTCTAACGAGGAACCAAGTTGTCCTAAACTCCCATTTCACTAGTCGAAACCCCAACTAACTAACAACCCTACGAACCAAACTTTTAAACCCCAAACGAGACCATCAAACGAGGGCCAAATAGAGTTACCTTTGGTGACTCAGGGGCATTTTGACTCTGGGCAACGACGGTGACCCTCTTCCCACAAGAAAGGTAAGGTTTTTTCCTTTTATCAAGTTTTCTCTCTTTTTTGGATATTCGGTTACTCTATCATAAAAGCTCTTTCCCCCTTTTTTTGCTTTTTGTTATCGTTGATCGAGATCTCTCTCTCTCTCTCTCTCTTTGTGCTCTCTTCGCTGCTAGAAGAATAATCTCCCCTTTTCGTTTTTGTTTGCTGTTATATCTCTTCCCCCAAAAAAAAGATAACCTCCCCCTTTTCTAATTTTCTGTTTTTTTCTTTTATTTTGCATGCACGAGACGAGGAGCAAGGAGTGAGGAACCTTTAAGCTCCACACGCGTCGGTCAAAATTGAAAATCGGATCCTCCATTTAGCTTTCACTAATAAATTATAATTTTTTAGGGTTTGAGGATTTTCTTAGATTTGATAGATTTAAGATATTTGTTCAAAAATTCGAATGAAGAGAAACATTATTTCGATAAAACAAACAACATAACTCAAAACTAACATCATCGGAAGAGATCGGAGTATTAGTACCACAAACTTTTAAATAAATTTTCGTCAATTTTTAGTGGGTTTCATAGAAAACTAATCTTATGAGAAGAAAGATGAGTGAAATGTAAATGATATTTATCTTACCGCAAAAGACAATTGTTGACAATCAATGATTGGCTATCGACAACAGTCAAAAATGTGCATCGTAAAAAATGGAATTGTTTAAAATTTCATGACAAAATCGATACACCCACAAAGTTTAGTGCCTAAAACGACGTTATAGTCTCCGTCAATACGATGTCATTTTGCCCAGATCAACACAATGATAAAAAGTTATATCCTTATCATCGTTTCATTAAAATTTAACGATCATGTGACATAATTGAAGTTAAAACCGAAATTTAATACTATAATTAAAAGTTCAGTGATATAACCTAAAATTTAATAATATTGATATAATCTACCTTTATTTAAATTTATATTTGAATTAAAAAATATATTCTTGTTTACTTGTGATTCAACAACCAATAAAATTATTAATGTGATATTGAATTATTAAAATGATATCATCCAATGTCATAAGTTGTAACTTGATTGATTGTTTTTTAAAAAGCTAATTTAATTGATTGTTAAAGTAACACAATACTACTAAATGCCAATTTAATAATTTTTTAAGTTAAAATATAAATTTAATACTAATTTAATATAAAATATTTAAATATCAATTTAAAAAATATTAATTTTTTGATAAATTTGAAGTTAATATAAAGTAGTATATGTTTAAAATTATTAACTATTTGAGAATAAAGTTCGTATCTTGTATACACAATACTTAAATATGAGACTTCAAAAATTACAATAATTTACTAACAGGGTTGGTTTAAGTGCTAAGCAGCTTAATATCGTTTAAGTAGGTATCGAGTTCGAGTCCTTGTGTATGCAAAAATCTCCATTGGAAAAACTCACCTACCATAAATAGATGTGCGACCTATATCGATCCGAATTAATCAAAGAAGAAACTTTAGGAACCGAGAAAGACAACAAAAAAATTACAATAATTTATTAACTATTGAAATTGCTTAATTTGTATTAAAAATATCAAATTTAAATATCAGTTTATAAATTACATCATAATAAGTAAATAAATAAATTGCAATGCGTGTGATGGAGAAATCTTAATTTGATAATTTACATGTAGTAATTGACTTATCGAATTAAAACAATGTGTAAGAAGGCGCGTCGGTTTTAAGGATTGCTTCGTTTCTCTTTCCTTTGTCTCCCTCCACGAATGCCAGACGCGGTTCAATTTCACTCCTTATCCACCATTTATCACAACTCAACAAAACCCAATTTCTAAATATAGTCACACTGCGAATTTGGCCAAAAACAAACAAAAAAACTGCAAAAAATTCTGGGTTTTTTTTTTTAATTTCTTGTTTTCTCTGAAACCATGGGAGGGATCTCGGGCTTTCTTATGAAGTTTCCCCCTTTGCTCCACTTTGTCTCGTCTCTCCTCGAAAGAATCACCATCAAATTGCCTATGCCGATCGAGAAACTAGTTCATCGCGTTTCTTATCCTCGCACCGGCAGACACTTGCAGCGCTATAATAATAGAGGCTTCCGATTAGTTGTTGGGTAATTCACGAATCTCTCTTTTCTTTTCTTCTTTTTGGCTTGAGTTTCCTTTCCGGGTTTTGTTGACAAGGAAGAGAAAGTTTCTGATTAGGAATATTTTTGTTTTGAGCAGCTGCATTCCGTACAGGTATAGGAGAACAGAAGAAGCGAACTCTGTTGACGAAGAAGCTATTGAAGTTCTTGTGATTAGTGCGCAGAATGGTAAAGGACTGTTGTTCCCCAAGGGCGGTTGGGAGAAGGATGAATCCATGGAAGAAGCAGCCATTAGAGAGACGCTCGAGGAAGCCGGTGTTCTCGGCGATATTGAGGTTAGTGTCTACTATGACTTTAAATTAATTGCGTTTATGGCCGAATTTTCAGTTGCGTTACATTTAATATCGTTGTTGTGCAATAACTGAACGGTTTCGAACAGCTACTATTCCGATAATAAAACCTCTATTTAATCCTTGGTGTTTACCGTGCTAGTCGAGTTTGACCTCTTCATCGCAGTTCTTTCAGCTTCTTATTTGGATATCTATTTTTGCAGTGTAAATTGGGTAAATGGTCTTACAAGAGCAAAAGGCAAAGTATATTCCATGAAGGCCACATGTTCCCTTTGCTTGTCAAGCAAGAGCTAGATCGATGGCCCGAGAAAAACATTCGAAAGCGGGAATGGGTACGTACCTTGTTACGCGGAGGATGTGTATACGTTTTTAATAGACTAAGAAAACTTCAGAACAAATATTATCTTGTAATCAATGTATCTTGCTGTGAAATGTGAATCAAATCAATCAATTATAGCAAAATCCATGGAAGAAGAAGAATCATATGTTGTTCTTATTGTGCAGGTGACAGTGTCGAAAGCTAGAGAGGAATGCCCGCATTTGTGGATGAAAGAAGCCTTGGAAGAGTTGGTTTGCCGCCATACGCTGAAGGAGGGAGTCAATGAATCAGCTTGTAAGTAGAAACAATGGAGTTGGTTGGTTCTTTGAATTTGTGAGAGTAGGAGAAATAGATCAGTGTAAATAAGGAGGACATCATCAAACAACTATTTTTTCGTTCTTTTGAGTAGGTAGAACTAGAAAAGAAAGCTTTTGATTCATTCATTCTTTCACCTCCATCAAAATTTTGAAGATTCATTGTTTCATTTCAGTAGATTTCTGGTATGAATGCATGCAAATGAAGTTGAAAAGGAATACAGATATCAAATTGACCTCCATGGTTTCCATCTATTGTTCTTTCTACAAGACATGTCCGTATTAGAACCCTTACAATATTTTATAATTGAGAAAATAACCTCAGTGACCAAAAATTTCATATAATATACGATTTTAACCAACTTTTTCCGGATTTTCCAAAATGACCAACAAAATCGCAATGCGATCGCTAATTCGCAACGCGATCTCCATTATCGCAAATTCGCGTTGCATTTCGCGTTGCGATAGTTGGAAATAGCGTTGCGATGGTATACAATGTCGTTGCGATTTTCCCAATTCGCAATGCGAATAAGTAAATCGCAACGCGAATTGGGAAAATCGCAATGCGATACTGACTATCGCAATGTGATACTTACTATCGCAATGCGATAATACAAAATCGCAACGAGATACTGACTTTCGCAACGCGATTCTGACTTTCGCAACGCGATTTACATAGCGCCATTCGTATTAACGCGTATTTTTTTTTTTCAAATTCCAAACACGAATTTTTTCTTAATAAATCGGAAACTGAACCGTCCACAGTAATCGCAACTCATAACCTCAAACCCAAAAACACAACACTCAGTCCCATCTCCATCTCTCACTCTCTACGGTGAAATCCGTCCCCATCTCCGAAGATTTCCGTCCCCATCGCCGGCGAAATCCCTCACAACCATTCACACTCAAAAAATCCCTCACAATCATTCACAAATGGAAAATCAAGAGGGTTAGTTTTTTTTTATTTTTATTTTGAAATTTTTGCATTATTTTAGGTTTTTCATATTGAGATTAATGATAAGTTTACTGGTAATTTCAATAATAGATTAACCATTTCACTTAGATTTCTTATTAAATTCATTCGATTGCTGCCAATACTGCTAAACTGTTTAGCCTGTGAAGTTAGTATTTGTCTTTGCTTTGTCTTTTGGTTGAAGTAATGCAGAAGAAGAATAGTTTCGAGAATGAAAATCGCAAAGCGGAAATAACTATCGCAACGAGATAATTGCAACGCGAAATAAAAAACGCAACGCGAAACAAAAATCGCATTTCGATTTTTATTTCGCGTTGCGATTTTCATTTCGCGTTGCGATTTTTATTTCGCGGTTGCGATTTTCATTTCGCGTTGCGATTGTCTGGTCGCGATAGTCATTTCGCGTTGCGATAGTCATTTCCGCGTTGCGATTCTCATTATCTCGTTGCGATTTTCATTTCAACCAAAAGACAAAAACAGTGTTGCAAATTTTAGTTTCAAGAATAAACTACTATTTATGTTTATTGTTTTGTTTTTGGTATATCTTGACAGTGTAATTTTTGGTATATCTAACTTGGTATGTTTATTGTTTTTTTGTATAAATTTTTTTCGGCTTCATTGACATTAAGGAATAAAGTTAGCCTAGCCACTACAATTGCTTCGAAGTTTTCACCTGCACAAAGAAAATTGTTTGAAGAAACCTGTTTCGGGCCATGGCTGAGAGTACAGCATCCGGGTGGAGATGCTAGTTTGATCCATTTGTGGCTTCAGACCATGACTAGCGATCTACCCGACAGTATACAACGTGGTGAGGAAGAGATATGGTTTCATTTTCCACCGGCGTATACTTGTTTTGGGCGGAAGGAGTTCTGCTTAATCACTGGTCTACGATTCGGACACGATGATGTAGGCCGGTACACTCGTCATATCACCCGCCCATCATGGTTATCCAGGGTTTTTCCTGATGAGTCAATAGAGAAGCCGAACTTACACGTCGACGACATGAAGAAATTGTTTAATAAGAAAGATGATTTTACTCGGATGAATGACGTCGATGTTGTCCGAGTATGCCTTCTACTACTTTTGTATGCCGGCTTTTTAGGCAGAGAGGCCAGACAACCTATTCCTCAGGAGCTAATATTATTGGTAGAGGACCTAAATGCATGGAATCTGTTTCCGTGGGGTTCGTATATATGGAAAGCTACCTGGACTAAGTTGTCGTCTGCCTTTGATGACCGCAAAAGTTTGCGGGGCGATGGGTCGAAATACACTTTGTCAGGCTTTGTTTGGGCCTTTAAGGTAAGAATTTCTATATAATGTTTTCAAAATTATAATTAATTATTTAACAATTACTAATGTTTGTTATTATATTGTTTGTAGATTTGGATATTCGAGGCCTTTCCCGCCATGAAGACATATGCAATAAAAACTTCAAATGATATTCCCAGGGCTATTTCCTGGAAGAGGAAACGTCTGTTGGATTGGGAAGACTTAATACCATATGCGACAATAAATAATGTAAGTTAACACAAATACTATCATATATAAACAAGTTATTAATATTAGACGTTTAACTTTGTTTGAGTTTTTATATTTTTAGGAGGCCAACATTCCATTAATGAGACTGACACCCACGGAGGCTGAGCTTGCCACTGATTGGTGGCAAGCTAGTCAGCGTTTTCTTGATGGCACGAATGATGAGCAGCCTCCACTTCCTCCACTTCGAGAGCCATCACCTCACCTAGAGCCATCACCTGATCGACCCGACTATACACCTCTACAACGAGAGCCATCACCTATCCCGTCACATCATCGAGCCTCTTCTCCACCATCACCTCATGATAAGCGACCGGCAAAGATGCCACGACTTCTATCTCCCTATTCTCCACCTCCACGGGATGAGTCAAGGGAGTTACGTGATGATGTCAATGCCTTGCGTGAGGAGATCGGTACTCTACTTGATAACGATGGTGCATGGCGTGTGGAGGTGTCTACTTTACGTGGTGAGGTTGTCGCTCTACGTGAGATGGTAGTATCGTTGCAGAATGAGGTTCATACTCGACGCAACGAGGTAAGTTTAAGATTTTCCATATTTAACTTGATGATAAATTTACTCGTAATTTCACTTAAATTAACCATTTCACTTAGATTACTTAGTAAATTTATTCGGTTGCTGCCAAAACTGCTAAACTTTTTACTTTAACACTGTGAAGTTAGTATTTGTCTTTGTTTTGTCTTTTGGTTGAAAGTTTGAAATATATTTATCTTTGTTTTCACTGTTTAAATATCATGTCTGTTTATTTACTGATATTTGTATTTTTATTTAGCGGACCGATAAGGTGGATGCTTTACGTCGGGTTTTTCTTGCACGACAGAGTTCACGCATCAGACGGCGTGAACGTGCTATTAAGTCTCCGTATACCCCAATAGTGCGAAGACACCGCAAGAAGAAGCCCGACTCGCCTATCATCCCTCAAGAGTCTACTCCTATCGTTGAAGAGGCCCCTATCATTCTTCGAGAGTCCCCTCCCACCGTTCAAGAGGCCACTGTCATCGTTGAAGAGGTCCCTCCCACCATTCAAGATCCCGATTCACATGGCGTCATATGTAGGATTCTTGAGAAACCCTCTGACGTGCCGGACATGATGGATTCAAGTTGGCTCTCGTATGAGTTATCGGCCAGTACCATACCGGTATCTGAAGATGAGAGGAAACAACTACCGGACACAATTCTGGATAACACCCTTTGGGCTAAGACCGCAGTTGATTTTTATCTACATGAGCGAAGCCAGGGGTGTTTCACTGACATATGCAAGCTCAATGATGATATCTATTTGTTGCTTGATCGGTCTTGGTGGGGCGTATTATTAGGGGTCGAAGACAATGGCTATTTCGATGGAGGGGTAAGTCTTATATTTTTCTTATATTTTCATTTGATTATTTTTTTTGTAAATTTATGTAAGTTACTAATATATGTCTTTTTTTGTAAAACAACATATCGATGCGTAGGTGTCACGTCTTCTAATAATTAGGAAACTTAAGGAAAATAAAAGAAATACACGGTATACAATTATGCCGACGTCTTTTAACGCCGTTCACTTGAAGAATCAACGAGATGAATCATTTGCGTTGGGCAATGGACAAGCTAAACTTTATCCTGCATGGTGGGAGGTCGATAAGGTTAGTGTTTATTTTAGATTGAGTTTAAAGGTATTCATAAATAAGTGCGCAAATTAATGAATTATTACTTATGATTGCAGGTGTTTATCCCTGTTTTGGAACATAACCATTGGCTTCTCGTCGAGCTTCAGATCCCATCCCTTAAGGCAATAGTATATGACAGCATGATAAATTACATATCATTGGCTGATTTAAGAGATATTATTAAGGGATGGAGCTCTTATTTGGCTAAATACTTGGATGCGATAAATTATTGGACTCGTTCTGGAAACAAGAAGCCAAAGAAGCTCAATATTACAGTTAGCAGAGACGAGACCGCACCACAACAAACGAAAGGACCCAGAGGGGATTGTGGTCCTCTCGTATGCTTGGCGTTGGACCGTTTGATCACAGGAAGTATAAAGTATCTACCTCCCACCGATATAGATAGAGCTGCAGTAGGCTTGTGGTTTCGACATTATATGGTTAGATCGATTTATACGAGACGCTGCCTACCTGCATCCGCCTTATAAAAATGTCCATAAATAATTGGTATGTTTATAGGCTTGTGGTTTGAAAATGTTTGGTTAAGTACCTAGAATTCAATAATTTGCTGTTTGTAGGTTTTAGATGTGTAGAAAGTGTTGTTTGAGCAAATGTTTGGTTTATACAGGTTAATCTCAGAAGTGAGCTGCGTGAAAATGATGTATGGCTGCAAAAGTTGATTCAATAATAGAAGTGTTATTTTCTCTAATAATTATTGTTTATTTTTTTATTGTTTAATTGATTTGTAAAAGGTGATTTGTAAAAGTTGATTTGTTTAATTGATGTTAACATAATTCTTATTTGTGCTTATTTAATTGATTGAAATGTAATGGTTGATTTTGTTGATTTCAATCTGCATTATGTTGAAGGCAAAAAGTACTATCGCAATGCGAAATGAAAATCGCAACGCGAAAATGAAAATCG